TTCTAATGCCTGATACCTGATCCATTCGACACTTAGCGATCATACAGGCTGGTGTGCTTCTTCCATGTGGGCTTTGTAGCTTCTCTGGCTTTTAAAATATTGCTGTTGGTCTTTCTTTCTTATTCTTTCTTTTTATATTTATATTGTTATTATTATTTTCTTCTTTCTGTTTTGTTTTTTATTGTTTCTGTTGGGGTTCCCAGGTTATGATGCACAAAAGGAGTGGGTGCATAAGGACTGTGAGTGACGCAATGTTTAATGGAACCGGGCTGGGGGCAGAGGGGAGAGGATGAGGGGAATTGGGAAGAAAACAATGAATGCAGGAAGGGGAGGGAGCACTAGAACGGATTGTGATGATGTATATAGAACTCTTGGCAAAAGTGACTTAACTATGGAAATGTATGATATGTGAATTTTATATCAAGAAAACTACTAAAAAAAACCCCAGAAAGAAACAAAAGTTGACCATTGATTACCATGGGTGAAGGAAGAAGAGATTTTGCTTAGGGGCATTGAGTTTATGTTAATGGTGGTGGAATAATTTGGAAAAGGATATCAATAATGATTGCACAACACGACCAGTGGCACTGAATTATTTGTGTAGGAGTTGTTGAATTGGAAAATGTTTTGTTGTGTATATTTTGCCACAATTAAAAAATCATTACACTAATAACAAGGAGTGCAAGGAAGAAGAAAATGTTCTAAGACTGATTGCAGTAATGATTTTATAACACATCTCGATATGACTGAATTGTATGATATATGAATGAAGTACCAATAAATCTGTTAAAAGAAAAGAAATGTGCTCGTCACTAATCTGACTTAGGTAGTGGTGGCCTTAGGGTGCTCGATCAGCCACCAGTTGGTGTCAAACTGATGCCGACTCTTGGCAATGCCACGTGTTTCAGAGTAGACTTGTGCTGCACAGGATTTTCAGTGGCTAATTTTTTGAAAGTTGGTCCTCGGGCCCTTCTTACAAGGCTCTCTTACTGCCTGCACGAGGCACGCGCCTGCCTGTTTTCCGTCATGAACAAGTATTTTCGCTCTTGGAGCTTTGGTGGGGAACCTTTTGCTTGAAGAGTTCCCAAGTCCATTGTACCTGCCTTGCTCCATGGGTAGACACAGTTAGTATAAGGTGATCAGATTTAAAGCGGTACACCATTGACCGGGAGCAGGGGGGGGGGTGGGTTCTTGATTAAAAATTTGGTCTATATGGACCAAATAGACTGTT